GGTTTCTGAGATCGTAACTCTCCTTTTTTGTTTTTTACCCTTAGGGATTATAACTCTTTACAGCAACAAAAAAAACAACCGAACCTGAAGTTAGTGTAAATGAAAATTCTGCTTAATTCCAACATTTACATGATCTTTCATTCCATCAGTCTATCCTATTTTCTAGAAGCATGCCATGGTTAGATACAAGCTGATGTGCGGATTTTTTAAGCCCGGCTGCAGTGAGTGAGTGTGCAGCTGTGCACCACATAACCTCTGTGCGGGCAGCATCCCACTGCATAGACTTCCGTGCTCCTATAACGTTATCACCTAGAAGGCACGGCCCTTTTCTAGGGTACCCCAGACCACCTCGTCTCCGAGGAGCAGCTGCTGGCTTTGAACAGTACCCCAGGGCTCACTGGGTTCATTCCAAAGTTTAGACATCCTGATTGGAGACGCGGACCCATCAAACCCAACAGTCCCCTGCACACAGCACAGGCATCTCTGTCCCTTGGGCCACCTGATGTGTAATGGTGTCTGGAACGTGAGAGTTCGAATACACATCTGTGTTACTGGCTTATATACGCACTGTCCATCTAAAAAGCTCTCGTAACTGTGTCTGTTAGGACTCACTCGAGCAGCAGCATGCAGGCTCTTGCGTGGCACGCTGCGGTACACCATCGCTCCCAAACACGGAAGAGCCCGGTGCATAATGATTTAAACAGCGTAAGGGAGGGTGGGAAAAGCAATAAGTGCTATTGTTCATTAATTAGCCACGTAACCCTCAAGAATCACTGCAATCCTATAAAATAATATAAAAATAAAACTTTCCCGGGCTGTCAGAATTTTCCGGCCTTTAGGGGCCACCGAAAATCACAAAGCGAGTGAAACCACAAGGTGGGATCTTCAGGGAGAAATTGCTAACGGTGCGGATTGAAGACCATTAGCAATTGAAGCGCCAATAGCGAATCCCTCTCAACACGTGGCACTTGTGTGAGATGCATGAAGAAAAGGCAGGAGCCGAATGCAATACGTAGGTGTTCACACAACACCCACATCTCGTGATGCTCGCCTTCACAGAGCAAACATGGACATTAAGCTACACACGACAGCTCATAATTTGGTTTCCTTTTGGAAGCTTCATTGTACCAATCAAGGAGTGTGCCCATATTATTTACAGACAGTTGACGGCTCTCTCAGCTGTGGGAGAGTGCCGACCTCCCAGCCCCTTGGTCTGTGTTGAGTCATCTCGGTCCTGAATTTGGTAGGCAAAACCGGCATCTAGTTTTGAGGTCACTTCTGAGAAATCACACTCCTTTCCCCTGGCAACAGCTCTCCTCCTGTGGCCAGGGTGAGATGTAAATAAGAAAGTTGCCTTTGCCTTTGCCTCTCAGACTGTTGAGTGGAGAGGGCAGACTCGGGAATGGTGGCCAGGACTCAGAGCTCAGAAAAGGGCAGCTCCGAGTAAATCCTCAGAGGCAGCCCTGAGCATGGAGCTGTGCTGAGGGGTGGGCCCTGTGTGGATGGCGAGCTTGGGAGAGCAGTGCCTGGGCCGTCAGGGTCACCATTAGGACCCAGCCCCACTCGGCACAGGGCCAGGGCAGAACATCGATGTCTGCACACCGGAGCCCCTGTGCATTCCCAGTTTAGAGTGGGGCAGCGTGTGGGCAGCCTATGGGGTAAGGCAGACCGCCCAATGTCGGGGGCAGTGCCAGCTGTGAGTACATATGCACTCCGTGTCCGGGGCCCTTCTGCACCCTCACTGAGCATAGAGGTACCAGTCGGTGCGTTTCAGAAGTTCAGGAAATGCCACGCCCAGAGCTCAGAGCTTTGCCTCAGTAAAGGAGCTAGCCTCCTGGATAGCTGTGCTCCAGGTCTTCTGGGAAATTTGCAAATCCCAGGAGTGGAACTGGTTTCTGGGCTGTTCCTAGGGACAGCACATCCGTAAGTGAGCCAGTTTGGGGGAGACAGGATCCCCTTCCAGGGAAGCAGGGGCCAGGGTAGCCAGGAGCAGTCCAGCGAGTGAGGTAGATCCCGTGTAGATGTGGCTGGTCTTCCTCTGATAGGGACCATTCTCATGGCCGGCAGACACCACAGATTCGTTTTCTGCGGTTTTGTTTCTGCTCTTGAATGCCCCGGTATCATAACGAGATTTCAATGTGGCAAGACATTTGTCAAAAGAAAGTGATTGATGTCACTCTCTAGACCTGCCGCTGCACTGATCTGACCTGGATTCCATGAGTGTTTGGATAGAAGTAGTACCTGTGCACAGACACAGCACGCCTTCCCGGTCACCCCCTCAGAGTGTGCCTTGTCTGCTTCACAGGCGTGTCCAGTGTGGAAACGGATACCTTGTCCACCCATCCCTTGGGGACCCCACCTCCACTGCCCCTGACTCCAGCCTGATACTGAGAAGGTTCTGATACAGCAGACCCTATTGGGAACTTGAGTTCTGTGCCTTGTTTGGGCATTGTCGCCCCATCCCGGGCGGTGTGTGATTGGAGTGGGCTGGCCCTTCGGCCAGTGGGTGGTGTCCCTCAGAACTGCCGAGTTAACACTGGTCTGGACGTTGGGGAGGGGCAGCAGGCAGAACAAAGAGGAGAATTTAATAAGCACACGGTCGCCGGGGGCTCAGGTCAGCTCTGGGGCCACGGCCTGTCTAGAACCCGAGCCTTTCCTGCCGCGGCTCCCGCCGCCCGCCCTGTGAACTGGAGTGCTGACATTAGAAAAAAGAGCGAAAATACCGCTGCTTCTGTTTGCTTTACTCCAAATAAGTGGCCGGGCTGCCTGGCCTGCTGCCCGGCGGCCCCGAGAGGACTTCAGATGTGGTCAGGGAGGTATCTGGACGGTGCCAGCCTGCCGGCCCTTGGCCAGGCCGCCTGCCCCGAGAGCCACCGGGGCCCAGGGACACAGCAGGCTTCAGCCTGCTGACCGCCAAGTTGTACAGTCTTGTTTGTGTCTAAGACAAGGCCGCTCCTACACGGCGGATGGAAGAGGGCAGGGCTCTTCCCAAAGTACATACCACCTCCCAAGATGGGAGCCAAGGAAGGGTCTGACCACTTGGTCTCCTGGGACCTCCCATCTTGGCCCTGCTGCACCCTTTAGAGCGACGGAGCTTACAAAGCCTGCCTTCTTAAGGCCAGATTTGGAGTCATATTTGGGCTTTTTACAGTTTATTGAGCTGCTATGCATTCTAGTCTCTCCTGTAGAGTGGAGCGACGAAGCGTCTGCCTGGTGCAGGCGCAGGCCTCTTGCTCCAGGCGCTGCTTGGCCTGCAGGGGGCACTGCTGCGTACACTTCGAGCACAGCCTCGGGCCCGGCTCTGAGAGGGGCGTCTTCTAACCTGGAGATGAGAGCTGGGTGAGGAGGACAGAGTGGATAAGCTCTTGCGGACTCTCTTCAGTGCCTCGCCATAGTGGTGGTATAGCTCCTGCCTGTTTCCCTGTGGTGGGCATGAGCCAGCTATGCCTGGCACTGCCTCTGTGGTCTGTGTGCGTGGGTCTCCTGCATCCGAAGAGCCTACCTGGGGTCCTCCACTCTGACCACAGTGGCCAGTTGCCATTCCTTCCCCTTCACGATGGAGCCCCGGTGGCAGAGTGGCTCCGTGCTGGACTGCTAACCGCAGGGTCTACAGCGAGATTCCCCTAGCCGCTCCAAGGGAGGAGGCCAGCGTGACAGCCTCAGAAGCTCACAGGGCGCTTGTGCCTGCCTCAGGGCCGCTGTGAGTCGGCAGCATCTCGATGGCAGTGCCTTTGATTTGGGTTTGGCGTCCACTGCGACTAACTGCCAGCTCAACAGCCTCTGCCCCACCCCATCCCCATCTCCCAAGTGAAGTAGCCCTGTTGGTGAGCTTGGCTGCTGACCCAAAAGGTTGCCCGTTCAAACCCAGCAGCCGCTCCGTGGGAGAAAGACGAGGCCATCAGCTTCTATAAGGCTGACAGTCTGGGAAGCGCTGTGGGGCAGTTGGTTCTGCTGTGCTGAGTCAGAAGCTACCCAACACAACAATGGACTTTGTTAGGTTTGGGCTCCAGATGCTTACTGAGTGATTGTTTGAAACCTGTCAGCATTCCAGCCACCCACGCACCACTTTAGAAGTTCAAGTATGGGCCATGATCAGCCTCTCACTATTGTGTCCTTTTGCTCTGTGTGACCTGCCCACCCCCCACCATCCCCCTCCTTCCAGCCATTGCCTGCTCTGTGACTATGTGACAGGTGCGATTTTCTGGGATAGTCTGTTTATAAAGCGCCTTCCAGTACTTGCCTCCTTCTACTTGCCCCTCGTGACTGACCAGGGTAGAGCCCTGGCCTGATGGCACAGCCCGGTGAACACTGGGATGTCAGTGCAAGTGCTTTGCAAACTGCTCAGTGGGCAGTGCTAACCCAGAGCAGCCAGGCCGAGCTAGTGGCTAACCGTCCACCTGGGCTCTCTGGTACCAGTGTAGACCTCAAGTGACAGGCCAAAGACTGTCTCTCCCCTGCATCAGGGCATAGATACCATCAGGAACTACTGTGTGGTGTCTGTGAACCATTTGGATTTTGAAAGATCAGGCCCCGTTCCTGCTTGTATTTATTTGGAGTTAATAGTTGTGGCCTTTCTCAGGTTTCCTTCACCAGGAGGCTAACTCCCAACCAGAGTCTGATCCGTTCCTCTGCTCCAGGCCTCTTGGCTTGGCGCGTCCTGAGCACATCCATACTCAATCTCGTGTACGTACACACACATTCATACACATGTTCCTGCTGTCATGTTCACACCTACTCTCATATACATTTTCTTACATACTCAGACTTTTATGCACACGTACATATTCATAGTCACACAGATTCAAATGTGCACGTACTCATGGACACAGACTTTCATACACACACATACTTACATGCACTCACACACTCACACCCTGGGAAGCCTTCCCAGAGCCATTGGTGTAACTCAGGATCCTCGTGGTGTGAGCAAAGAAAGCTTTCGGGTGTCCCATCGAATGAGAGCGGGGATATCTCAGTCTGCCCCCTCTCTCCCCTCGCAGTGCTCCTGAAGTTCCGCACGGATAAAGGCCGAGACCCCGGCTCTGCCACCTACAGCGAGGACTCCGAGCTGCTGCTCCAGATTCGGAACGACGTGCTGGATGGCCTGGGTGTGAGTCCAGACCTGATTCCTGAGGACTTTGTCAGGTGGGTGCGGGCAGATGTCTGGTACCTGTATCCGACTGCGTGTGGGGCGATGTTTTATTTTATGACTCCGGCTCTGAGGGGAAGCCGCATGGCCCGCTCTCCAGCCCCATCCCACCCCGTCCTCTCCCTGGGCATTGGAGGGCCAGCACTCAGGAAACCGCAAGCGACAGGGTCTGCGTTTGAAACCAGGTCTCTAGTTACGTGGGTCACCGTTCAACAAAAGGTGCCACCTGCCTTCCCCTTCCTGCACCACCTTCGGGTTCCACGTGACCACCCGGGACACAGCCAAGGCTGTGGGGCTGCTTCTCGGGCCACGCGGGGCTCCAGCCTGGGGCTTAGGACGCTGGACCTCTCGCTGGGGGGTGGGGGCGTTGCTTTTGGTCCCCGCTGGCATGCTTAGCCATGTGCCTGTGTGACAGAGATCTCATCTGTGGACAGGTGACTGGACAGGGGTTGCCCACCTCAGGCCAGACAGTGGGTGGCCAGCATGGGTTGCTGGGTCCAAGGTGGTGATTTGTCACTAGGTGGGTGTTGCTCCCTTGCGTTGCTGTTGGTGTGATCATTTATACTGCCAGCATTCTCTAAATAGGAACTCAGGTGACTTCCAAGGATAGCCGGGTCCTGGGATCTTCTGCCAACCTCTGCCTTCTCTCTCAGTGCCTTTGGGGATTTCCTAAGGGTTTCCAACTCTGCCTCAGGGTTGGAGCTGGGACCATGTTATTGTTTGGTGCCATCTGGTCAGCACCACCTCAGAGCAACCAGCAGGGGCACCCACGGTCCTGTGCCATCCTCACCTTCCTTGCCACGTGGGACCTCATTATTGCAGCCATGTGTCAGGGCAGCTCATCGAAGATCTTGCTCGTGTTGGGTTTTTTCCCTTTGAGTCTTTATGGTTTTATTTAGTAGAAATACGGCTTGTCAGGCAGCTGTGTCCTCATGCTCCTCACTGCGCTGCCTGGGATTGGGACTGGTGCGTGGGTGGCCTTGGCACCCTGAGGCAGCCACGGCAGGAGCTTGTGGGCGTGCAGGCAGTGGTCCAGGGCCTTAGCCCAGAGTCGAGGTGCCACCCTGTCAGGATACAGGTCTATAACTGCAGGGTCAGCAGTTTAAGACCAGCCGCTGCTCCAAGGGAGAAAGATGAGAGGCTTTCTACTCCAGTAGGTGAGTGTTGGAACCCCACAGGTGCAGCTGTGCCTTGTATCGAGCCAGCATAAGCTTGGGTGCACTCCATGGCAGTGAGATGAGTTGGGCTTTGATTGTCCAGTTGATCCCACGTCAACAGGTTTTCAAAAGGAGTGTGGTGCCCAGGGCCGGAGTTCTTTACTGAGTCAGGGAAACTGAATTTGAAGACGTCTTCAGGGGTTATTTTTGGCTTCAGGTCAAGATGATCTCGGGGATGTGTAATCGTGTGTGTGTGTGTGTGTGTGTGTGTGTGTGTGTGTGTGTGTGTGTGTCTGCTTCAATTTGCTGGACAGCTTGTTGAGGTGCGAGACTTTATTATTATTATTATTTATTATTATTATTATTAAAATATCATTTTATTGGGAGTTCTTAAAGCTCTTATAACAATCCATACATCAGTTGTATCAAGTGTATTTGTACATATGCAGCCATTATCATCTTCTAAACATTTACTTTCTATGTGAGCCCTCGGTATCAGCTCCTCGTGGTCCCCCCCCCCCCATGTAGCCCCTTGATAAATGATAAATAGCTATTATTTTCATGAGGTGGAACACGTTCAAGAAGACGGAGCATGGCCTTTCTGGAGGGCATGTGGGTAAATGAGTGTCAACCCCCCCACCATTCTGTACTCTGCATCGGTGGTTACAAAGCAGAGGACTCTGGTTGACAGCCCTGATAGGTGCTGGCTCACAACCTATTCAAGTTAATTGTACCTGAGACTTGTTGTTTTGCTACGTCACATGCATGTAATTTGGGCATCAGGCTGCATCGCTCTTGAAGCTGTACGTTTGTATGTAACGTCCCCAAACCCCAAGGCAAATAAGGATCAGATTCATAAGTATACTGATCCTATAAGGCAATAATAATGCCAAATAAAGATCTTTTTTAAGGGTGGAGAGCACTGTGGGAACAGAACCCCACCGGAAGGCAGGGACTGCCTCTTCAGTGAGGCCCACCAGCCCCAGGACTGCCCTGTCTTTCCAGGTCTCACAAGTTTTCCTCCTCCTGTGGGGTACAGTCTGCCCACTTCTCTCTGACTCTTTCAGTGGGACATGTTTGATTCTCCATCTCTGGCAGGTTTCTGGCTTCCACAGGCTTTTTGAGCTTTGCAATGATGCCTGTAAAGTGTGTGTGTGTGTGTGCCCTTAGGAGCCTTGTGTAAGACAGGTTCCCCTGAGAAGGTGTTTGGAGTCTCCAGTCTCCCATCCGGCCCAGAATCCTTCTCTCCGTCTGGGTAGCCTGTACCTATCTGCGCCCATCCGTGCTCACTCAAATTTCAGGCCCCTGATTTCGCAGGCCTCCTACATGTCAACACAGGCCTGCGCCTACAGCTCCCACCCACCACCCACGGCCCAAAATGGGTGCGAAGAGAATTGTGAGAATGTGATGGGGCTGCTAAAACCTCTGTGTTGGGAGGACCTTATTTTTAGGAAACAGATATAGTCTTTCCTTAGACTTAAAGGGTCAGGGGTGAGGTGCAGAGGGCTGTGAAAGGGTTCCCTGCCTGGATGCCCACACCAGCCCTCTCTGCGATGGACGCCTGTCAGGGGCAGGCGGGGCTGACCCTCAGGGCCACCACTGACCGCTTCAGGTGTCCCTGTCCCATCTCACCCGTCTTCTCTTCCAGGTACTGCTTCTCCGAGATGGCCCCCGTGTGCGCTGTGGTTGGCGGGATCTTGGCACAGGAGATCGTGAAGGTAGAGTGTCCCCGGGAGCCCTGAGGGCCCTGCCCTGGCCATCCTGACGGCTGAGCGCCAAAGCAGCACCTCCTCAGGAAGGTGTGCTTGGCTCTGCTTTTCCCCCGAATGCGTTGGCTGCGATTTGGCTTCTCGCCATCAATGAAGCAGGGACTGTCCTGATCCTCCTCTATGAGGAGGAAGCCAGGGTTCGGAGAGGGAACCCCAGACCTGTGCTCCAACACAGCCCACCCCTGCCATCCTCTTCTCTTCTCCCCGCAGAGCAGTGTGGGGCCTCCCATTTGGCACCACACAGAGATGCTCGAACAGATGAGCAGGCCGTGCTGCACATCCGCCCTCTCAGATGGGAAGTGTCCCTCACGGGGGTCTCAGCCAGCACCTGACACAACTTTTTGCTCTCCCGGGCCGTTGGCTAAAGCCCTGCCTGCTCCCAGGCGCATGCCCTTGGGGAGTTCGTGACTTGCCCACAGGAGTTAGATTTGCCTCTTGCCGGGGAAGAGCTGCGCCCATGGGTTTGTAGTCGTGCTTGTCCAAGCAGAGCCGGGCCTGCTAGACCAGGGTCCTGGTTCTTTGAGGTGTCAGGTCACTCCCAGCTCCAAACCCGCTCGGCAGACACCCGGTGCCCACACCAGCAAGCCACCCTATTCCCAAGGCTCCCGGGCACCATGGCCCAAGCACTGGGCAGGGTCCAGGGAGGAGGTGGGTGAGGGCCGATGGGAGGCGATGAGGAGCTGCGTCCCCATGGAGCCCTGTGTTAGGGAGGCTGCTGTGGGTGCCCCTGCCGGCAGGGGGCACGGCCCTGTGTTTCCTGGTCCACAGTGACAGCCATGGTGGACATGCTGCGCTGTGCTCTGCACCATGACCGCCTGGGAGGGAGGCTGAGACTGGCTGCCCCCTCACTCACTGTTCCATCGCCTAGGCCTCCTGCAGGCCCCCCAGTGGTCATGTGGGGTGGAGGTGGGGGGTTGAGACAGGTGCCCCTACCCAATTGTCAGCCCTGCTGCTCTGCGGCCCCCTCCTTCCTGCGGCAGGACAGCTGCTGCCGCATCGTGTGTCTGTTTACCCCAGGGCACCCGAGGACTCTGCATTCTTGGTTGCTGGGTGTGTTTGGAATCCTCCCCCTGCCCCCCTTTCCCCACAGGCTTGGGAAGCACTTTACCTTTCACCCCCTCTTCACCCTGGCCCCGCTCTCATCCCCACCACTCCCCCTGCTTAGGCTCCAGCCTGCAGCCAGCTGGCCCTCAGGCCCCGTGGGAGGCGGGGGGCAGGTGGAGCCGTCTGTTCCCTGGAGTTGCCGGCCCCCCAGACACCACATCCTACCCCGTGGGCCTGCCAGCTGTGCTGCCCAAGCCAGGCTAGTCCCCCATCGTGCCCACTGTCCCCCATCCCACCCGCCCATCAGGGCCCATGCTTTTCCTCCCCTGAGCCTGGGGTCTTGGCTCCACAAGTGGTCAACTTGGGACGCAGCAGCCCCTGGTACCAGCAGCCCCTGTTCACTGAGCAGTCAGGCCACGTAGAGCCAGTGCCCAGGCGGACGCCTCTGCTCAGACTCCACAGCCAAGAGCTGGCTGGGCCAGCACTGGAGGTCCAGCCCTCAATCGGCTGGCAAACACCATGATCAGCCCTGAGTTCTGCCCTCGGCCCAGCTAGATATGCCGACTGACATATGGCAGCGTCCCACCGGCTATGAGACAAACAACCGACACAGCCACTGGCCTCTGCCTGCCCTGGTCAGGCCCGACCACCTTTCCTCCGCAAATCCCTGAGCCCTGTGAATCCTCTTCCCCAAAACACACAGCTACACACGTGACGTGCCATGGCAGGGGCTGAGTCCCGCCCCTTGGGTGAAGAGTTGCTGCCACGACCAGAGAGGTGGCCATGGTCCTCACTGCCCTGTGCTGCACGGTCTCTCATGGTCACCACCACTTCCCACCCCCCACGGGGCATGTGTGGTTCTCTTTTCACATGGGCAAGCAAGGGCCCCAGGACCCTCAGCTGGGAAGGGGCAGCAGAATGGTGACGATGGGAACTGTTGCCAGAGGGGACCAAGAAGACGGAAGCACCCCGTCAAGGACCACTGCCCTTCACAAAACCAAGCCCACTGCCCTCGAGCGGCTGCTGGCCCAGAGTGCCCCTACAGGACAAGGCAGACCCGGCTCTGAGGGTCCCCCAGGCTGTAGGCAGCCCCGTCTTTCTCCCCTGGACGGAGCGGCTGGTGCTTCCAACCCCCTTCTAGAAGTCCTCTCCTCCTCTTCCACCCTCTTGCCCTTGTAAAGCGCCTGGCTGACCCCCGCTGCGTTTTGCGTTTCCTCGCCAGGCCCTGTCTCAGCGGGACCCTCCGCACAACAACTTCTTCTTCTTCGACGGCATGAAGGGGAGTGGGACCGTTGAGTGCCTCGGCCACCAGTGATGTGGAGACAGACCTCCGGCCCGCCCCCCAGCCCGCCCCCCAGGGCAGCTTCACGGGAAAGGAAGCACCCTGCCAGCACAGGCCCTGTGCCTTCTGCTCACCTGCAGCTGCCGAGCCCCGGGCCTCTGCCCTGCTCTCCCCAGACCTGCCCGCTCCCCTGAGCACAGGTCACCTCAAAGCACCTCTCTGCCACCTCCTGGCCCGTGCCCCCTGGGCCCTGGGCTGAGGTCCCTGCCCGGAACCAGTGCACCTGTTGCTTAGGAGCCTCTCACTGCCTCCGTGGCCCCGTCCCTGCCTGATGTCACAGGGCAAGCAGCGTGACTCAGGTGGGGAATAGGGCCTGGCCTGGGCAGTGCGGGGCTCCAGCTGCAGATTCAGACAGGTGCTTTTAGAGAGGGACCGGCCTGTGGGTGTCAGATCCCGAAAAACAACAGGTGCCCTTGCTCTGGCGGCCTGGGGCTGGCCTTGGATTAGTGGAATCCAGCCTGGGCTTAGCTCAGGGGGTGTTGCCGAGCCCCGGCTCAGGGGAGCGCCCTCACTGCCACTCTAGAGTCTCCCTCCTGGCCGACCGTCCCTCGGTTCTCTGTTTACCCCGCATTGTAGCTGTTTCCTGGATATTCCTCAGTTCTTTGTAGAGAAATGACAAAAATAAAGTCTTTTTGGTTTTGGACTTTTGGTTGTGTTTCTGTCATTTGAGAAACCCCATCTGACAGGAAGTGACCCTCCTAGTTGTCCTTGGAGACCTGAAGAAATGCCACTGGGGGCAACCAGAGCCCTGTACCCTCTGGCCAGCTGTGCCCTTGTGGGTCACCCTCGGGAA